CCCCGGTGGTACTCCTGCCGTCTGTCTCATCTCTGCTCGGCTGACGGCCGTCCCACACCCTCCGTTTCTTTGCCGTTAGTTCAGGCATTATTCAGTGGGTCGACTTTACATGGGTGCACCACACTGGGAGTGCTGACGTTCCTCTTCCAGAAGACGTTTGCCTGCCAGGAGTGTGTCAATGGGGGCATCTCTAGTTCAACAGGCTTATTTTTAGAGTACTTGTTTCAGTATTACTCTTAACATACTAAGGGAGCATCTTTTTGGGGTGGGGGGAGTTGTTTGGGGTTTTCAATTTTATTTGGATGAAATCTGTAATGTGTTAATTATTACTTGTAAGCCATCTTGAGCCAAGAAGAAAGGTATATGTATTGTAATAAATACGACTACAGCCCAAAGAACATTTCCCCCCCACCCCCGTCCCCACCACCACCACCACAACCATGCTTAGGAGGGCAGAGCGGCTGCTTCAATCCCAGGTCTCAGCTGGAGCCAGAATGTTGCCTTGGTGGCTCCTGGCCCCTTTTGCACCCTCCTGACTTCTCATTCCACTGAGAGGCTTCTTCTCTTTCCTTCCAGCTTGGCTGAGTCCAAGGAGAACTTGTTCTGGCATCTCACCAGTAAAGGAGGCAAGTAACGAGAGGCTGGCGTGGACCTGGAGAGCTGCTGCCTGCTGGAGGAGATGGCGCGGGAGGGGGGCCACGGGGGCCCGTGGTGACTCGGTGGGAGGTGGTGCTGAGGAGGGGAGGAGGGGGGTGGCTGGGCTTCCGTCCGGGTCAGGCAGTGCGACACATTATTTATTTTATTTATTTATTTCATTGTATTTATACTCCGCCCTTCCCGCGAATGGGCTTAGGGCGGCTTACACAAGGCACAAAGTGCATACAGTACATAAATAGATAAAAACAGTTAAAAATTCAATTCCATCAGGATGCAAGGATAAAAACTCCCACCATCTTGCATAACAGAGGGGAGGGCAAGGGCCGTAGATAGATGGTACCCGGCCCTCCGGCGGTATCGCTCTATAATGGAGCGGTGGTGGTAGTGGCGGTGGCGGCTCCTACTCGAAAGCCTGGCGGAAGAGCTCGTCTTACAGGCCCTGCGGAACTGCACAAGGTCCCACAGGGCCCTGATCTCCTCTGGGAGCTCGTTCCACCAGATAGGAGCCGCCACTGAAAAGGACCTGGCCCTCGTTGCCGCAAGCCTGGCCTCCTTAGGGCCCGGGTTGACCAGCCAGTGTTGTGACCCCGACCGAAGTGCTCTTTGGGGAATATGTGTGGAAATGCGGTCCCTCAGGTATGTCGGACCCTGGCCATGTAGGGCTTTAAAGGTGAGCACCAGCACTTTGAAGCGAATCCGGTATGCTATCGGCAGCCAGTGCAGCGCTTTCAGCACAGGTCGGGTGTGCTCCCACCTAGGAGCGCCGACCAACAGACTGGCCGCAGCATTCTGCACCAGCTGCAGCTTCCGGATTTGAGACAGAGGCAGCCCCATATAGAGAGTGTTACAGTAGTCTAGCCTCGAGGTGACCGTCGCATGGATCACTGTAGCTAGGTCATTGCGGTCGAGGAAAGGAACCAACTGCCGTACCAGCCGAAGATGATAAAAGGCCAATCTGGCAGTGGCTGCCACCTGGGCCTCCATCGTTAAGGTGGAGTCCAGGAGCACTCCCAAGCTCCTAACCTCCGAAGCTGGCACCAGAGGTGCCCCATCAAAGGTCGGAAGCGGGAGCCCTAATCCCGATCTGGTCCGACTCAAGCACAGGACCTCCTTCATCGCCGGGTTTAATTTCAGCCTGCTCCGTCTGAGCCACCCAGCCACAGCTTGTAAAGCCCGGTGCAGATCTTCTGGGTCAGAGTCCGACTGGCCACCCAACATCAAATAGAGCTGGGTGTCATCTGCGTATCTCTTGTGGTGATGATCTGATCTGAGTTCTGTCACTCTTCCAGTGCCCTCTTCCTCTCACCCTTGGTGACTCAGGCTGGGGGTGGGGGTGGGGGGGAGGCTTCCCAAGGCCTAGCGCTGCCTCAGGCGACGGGCTAAGGGGGGGGGGGGACATTTCAGCTTTGGCTGAGGGGCAACTCCTGGTTAGTTGAAGAAACCGGGCCTCACTTTCCCACACACGGAACCAGATTCCGTTCTGTGGGGGCACGTGTCCGTGTGCATTGACACACCGTGCGGCAGGCTTGGATCTACTGGCGGCCTCATCTGGATCTGGGCACCCTCGTGCTGCTCCCTTCTCGTGGATGTGTGTGTGTGTGTCCATGTTACATCCATCCGTGTTACAGTAGCTTTGAGGAAGAATGGGTTGGTGCAGCTTTGAGCATTGTCATACTCTCCAAATAAAATGATTAGTTCTTGTGATTATACTATTTGACATGGAAAAAGACGTTTGAGAGGCCGAGTGTCTACAGACTTAGTGCACTGCAGGAGCAAGACGTGTTCTTCACGCACCAAAGAAATCTGTGGTTTACACTGTATCATGCCTTTCTCCACTAGTGCTTAGTGACAGTGATGATGATTGTGTCTTTGGCAAGCATCCCCCGAGGTCTCCGTGCCAGTCCATCCAAGCTGGCCACCAGAAGTGGAACCGGAGGGGCACGCTCGCTGCCTCTTCTCAGGAGAAGCCTATCACACCCAAGGACGGGCCAAAGTCTTCCTGGAGTGTGGGGGGGAAAGGTTCCACAAAGGAGCGTGCTCAAGGCAAAGCCCAGCAGCCAAGACCAAGTGCCTGCGAGAGCTCCGATGATGAGATCGAGAGTCTTATTGTTCATGTGAAGCAAAGAATGGTCCTTCCTGCCACCACGAGTGCTGAAGGCCGGACTGGCAGCTATGGTAAGAGACCTCTCTATCCTTGTTCAGAAAGTGTTCAGAAGGCGCGTTGGTCACGGATGAGTTGGGGGAGATGATGACACTGGAGAGTTGTTGGGCTAGTAAGGAAAAGCTCTGGCCTCTCAGGCTGGCTGGGGAGTGGGGACCTCTATGTACGCCCCTCTACCTTTTAGTTTGTGGGCACACAAGTGGAGCCGCTGGTAAGTGGGCCAGGTGCCTTGAAATCCCAGTTACCCTGACCTTTTACTGCACCGCTGGGAATTCAGAGGGGAAGGTGGAGTACTTCCTGGCTTCCCTGATATGTCCACGAGATAAATATTTAGGTATTTAGCTTAGTCTCTCCCAGCTTCCACCCCTATGAAAATGGTGAGGAACCATTAAAGATAGAATGGTAAGCTATAAGAATAGAGAGAACAGTTCCAGAAAGTTTGAAGTCATGAAGAGAAACCGGGGTGGGGTGGGGTTGAAATCTAGGCAGTATTTTCCTAGCAAACCTAAACATGCCTTACAGCATTAACAACATAAAAAAATCCATTACACATCAACATATAAAATTACACTATTATATTTATGGAATTTTACATATAAATGCCCGCTTTTTACTGAAAACACCCCCAGTAGACACGAGAGAGTGGCACAGTGTGCCATCCTGTGCCTTGATTTTTGCCCTCTCCGTGGGGTTGGAGCACCTTTCCTAGGAGGGGAGGCTAAAGCTTCTGGAGCTGTTCAGTTCGGGGGGGGGAAACAGGACTGGGGGGAGCACGGTAGAGTTTAGGGATGCATCAGAGAGCGAAAGCGCACTCTCTCGAGCCCTTGCGCACCAGCCCCAGGAGGTGGTGGTGGCGGCGCCAGTGAAGACAGTTGTTCATCTCTGCCACCGCCCTCGGAAGCGCCTGCCTGTCCTTCTGTTATGGACTGGCCCAGGTGGCTCTTGCCGGTGGATGCTGACAGGGTCCTTGGGAGTGTGAGAGACACCCCTGGTTCCCTTGAGCCATCTTGGGAAAGGGTGTGGGAGCCACTGGTTAAAATCATCATCAATTTTATAGAGGTGTCGTTAAGGGACACAGAGCAGAAAAATCAAGGAGGTGGGGTTTGTCCTGTGGAGTCCTGCAGGGTTCTGTCCTCTCACCCATATTGATATGAGATTGCCTAGAGATTTGGGGTTGGGCCTCGTCAGTATGCAGATGAGACCCTGCTGTCTATTCCATTGTCCAGGCCTCCAGATGCATCCGTCTTGGTTGTGAATCAGGGATTTGAGGCTTTTAGTCGGGTGGCCTCAACCAAAGGCCTGGCGGAACATCTCTGCCTGACGTGCCCTCTGCGAAACTCTTAATAGATCAGACAGGGCACAGATGTCATTCGACAGAGGCGGGTTCCACCAGGCTTGGCTCTAGCACACACAGTCTTCATGGCTTCCCCCTGTCCGGTAGCAAAGCTTCAAGGCCTGTAGGTCCAAGGGAATGGGGGAGGTGAGTGGCGCAGTGGGGTCATGAAGCCACGTGACGTGGTGTTCTGTCTTTAAATCCACACCACCCTCGCAGATGGCTCAAAGAATCGTAGCGCTGGAAGGGGCCATGCGGGGCACCTAATCCAGCCCCCTGCTCAGCCTCAGGCATCCCTGGCAAGTGCTGCTCCAGCCGCTGCTCGAGGACCGTCAGTGGGGGGGAGGCCGAAGATCTGAAGTCAGCCCTGGGCCCGTTGGGTTGGGTTGGGTTGGTGTGGGGCTTTGTCTGTATTTAACTCCTGGCTCGTGGCTCTGGTAGAAGAGAGAGGCTTCGGGTCCTCCTGCGAAAGAACCCCGGCCGCTGCTGCAAAGACTGAGAATGTCTCCCCGGGACGGTTCAGCTCTCCTCCTGTGCTGAGGCCCGTGGGCCAGGGGCCAGCCGATGTCCTTCAGGCACCGCGGATGCCAGTGAGGTGGGTCCTGGCTGCCGTCTTTGCCGGCTCCTTGCTTGGACTGGGTCTGCTGGCAAAATAACTGGCACAGGTGAAGCCTGTCAAAATAGGCAGCCCCCGTACCTGAGGAGTGCGAAAAGGTCATCCTGCCAGTCGGCTGCTGCAGATTCCTGCGTCCGTGTGGGGTGGCGGGGCCCAAGCGCCGGGCAGTCTGTCTGGCAAAAGGAGGCAGAAGCGCTGAGGGGCTGGGGGGAAGCTGATTCGGGAGGAAGGGGGAGCCGTCCTCATACAAGGCTTAACGACAGGGGGGGCCTGCCCCCCCCCCCCCCCCCCCCCGGCACCAGGTCGTGTGGTGCCCCGTGGTGCTAGTGGACTGCTGGCGACTGGCAGTGACGACTTTATTGTGGGGGACCATCTGGGGGAGCCACCTGGAGCAGGCGGTGAGGTCTGCTGGCCACATGATGCTAAAACCGGGCTCACTATCTGGCAGCTCATTTGAGAGTTGTTCTTTGGTGTGGTGGTGAAGTGCAGGCAGACTCTAATCTGGGAGAACGGGGTTTGATTCCTCACTCCTCCACTCGCACCTGGCTGGGTGACCTTGGGCAAGCCCTAGTTCTGACAAGAGCTGTCCTTGAAAAAGAGCCGTTTCTGTCAAGAGCTCTCTCAGCAGCCCCACCTACACCCCACAGGGTGTCTGTCTGTTGTGGGGAGGGGGAGGGAAAAGGGGTTTGTGAGCCGCTCTGAGACTATGCTAAATAGCATGGAGGTCAGGAGAGAGCCCTGCATGGCCTCAAGGTGATTCTCACAGGGAAGAGGAGTAACCCTTCAGCCCCCCCCCCCCTTCTGCAACCTGCTGGCAGGGGGAGCAGATCCACTCCAAGGCACCCGCGTTTCCTTGTGCTGAGCACAGGGGCTTCTGCCTCGTGTTGTCCCTGTGGATGGGAACAGGAAGGGATTCCCTCCCTCCCTCCCCCACCCCCCACGGGTGCCCAGCTGTTGAGGTGCTGTTACTGGAAACCGTGTAAAATCCTCTGTATGGGTCCCTGAAATGAAAGCCTCCACAGATGGCTCCCCCCCCTTAATGTTCCAGGAGTTCCAGAGGTGGGGCTGAACCCGACTGCCCTGCCCAGCGGATGAGGAGGCTGTGTGTGTGTGTGCAGGGTTTCTAGCCCGTCCCCATATGTCGTCACCTCTGTGCGTGGTCTTGGCCCTTCGCTCCTTGGCCGGCCCTCGGCTGCTTCCTCTGTGACGGCTGCTGTTCCTTGCCTTTGTGTCCGCAGGAGCCCCTGCCCAGTCCAGGGATGCTTCTTGCAAGAGCTTTCAGACCCCACCTCCCGGCAAGCCAGAGAGTTCCGGACCAAGAAGGAAGAGATGGCACAGAGTCTCTATGCTTTTTATAACAGGACCATCTTTGAGCAACAGGTATTCTGCTGGGATGGGGCATATTTCTGAACTGGTCTCAGCAGCAGCAGCAGCAGCACGGGGCTGTGAGTGAGCGCCTGCCCAGTCACCCCTTCCCACCGCTGCTGATGCTCCCCTTCCCAAGTCCTGTGAAGGGTGTGGAGAGAACTCGAGGAAGGGAGGGATGCCGCCGGCCCTTTCACTGTGCTTGGTCTGCTTCCTCCAGGACGCCTGTGGGAGGAGAAAGTGCCCCTTCTCCCTCCCACCCCCTGCAGAGACCCACAGAGAGGAGAGGTTCCTCTCTCGTAAGCTGGGGTGGGGTGCGCTATCTCCCACTGGCTAGTGTACTACCACTGACTCGTGTGTTGCCAGAACAGGCCCTTTCTTCCGCACTATTGAATGGTGGGCCTGCAGACAAGGCGCTCTTACGAGCAGCTGGGCGCTCTGTCCTAAAGGCGGCTTCTGCCTGCTTCTGAGAAGTAGCTGAGATCTCAGTCACATGGTCCGCCATTTGTCTCAGTTGCCAGGAAGAATGGAAATCAGCTGGAGTAAGAAGATGCGGAAAACAGCAGGGTGCTGCATAACTGGGCAGCTGAAGGATCCCAACTTGGGGCAGCGTTACGCCCGGATAATGCTGTCGGAGAAAGTTTGTGACTCTGCAGGTACCCTGAAGAATTTGCTTGGGCAGTATAAGCTGACTTCCACTTAAAGCTGTCTTCTGTAATGGCTGCCTTGGGAGCAGAGGCAAACCTTTTGGCCCTCCTCTCGTCCAGCCTCTGTGTCTGAGAGCAGGGTGGAAATTCTGGAACGCTATAAGGGGGGGACTTTGTCATACCATTTCCTTTCAGGAAAGAAGAACCTCATGAGTTTCTTGTGATGGCGTGCTCTGTCTCTCTCTCATATTACAGCAGCCAAATGATTTCTTTATTTTGGTAGGCGAATATTATTCATGCTGCTTATAAGTAATAAAAACTTCATTAGGAACATCTTTGTTGGTTCTCAGAATTGGTGCTTGATTTTCCTGAACAGAATGAGCTGAGCTACCTGTACACAGTAGAGCGTGCATCCAGTTGACTGGTTTCTATAAGGCAGTGTCCCAGGCCACCTTAATTTACTCTGTTGTACACTGATTTCCTTCCGATTAAAGTGCTGTAGAATTGTAGCCATTATTGTGGGCTGTACTTTTAAGACTCCTGCAACACTCTGCAAAGACGAGCTTTTCTTGCTTGCGAGGGACTCAACTCCTACGTTTCTTCCTTCCTCCCTCCCTCGCACAGAGACCAGCAAAACCACATGCCACCTTTTGAACTGGGCGTTTGGTCCCCTTCTTTTGTGCCCCAGTATGGGGCTGGGATGGTTTGGGGTCGTCCCAGCCCCTTTTTCAAGTAGTCCACATCCCCTTGGACAGAAATCCCTCAAGGCCACCCAGCATCCCCTATTCAATTGGTGCTTCACCCGAGGTTACCAATGTCTCCTTAGATAACGGAGCATTTTGGCTTCTCTGTGGCTCCTCCACGGTCTGCATGTGGCCTTCTGCCTCTCTCCTCTGCACTGTGTCAAGCATCAGGGGACTGGAGCACCTCTGTGTGGCTCAGCTGGTGGTGACGGCTTTGACCAACCCAGAGCAAAGAGTGGCTACTAAGAGGCATGATTGGTACTCAGATATGTTCATCTTGGTGGCTGAATTGGAATTATTATTCTGAGTTCCCTCTGTAAATGTTCTGGCTGAGCACCGGTATTCATGGCCCAGGTCAGCCCTGGCTGTAGGGCGGGTGGCCTCCAGAGGGCGGTCTCTCCTGTGAGTGGCCAGTGCGTTCCTGTCTAGGGGGTCAGAAGAAAAAATCCCTGGATCCTAACTCCCCCCCCCCCCTTTTGTCTCTTGCTCAGATCGGATTCGAGACACTCTGATCCACGAACTGTGCCACGCAGCCGCATGGCTAATCCACGGCGTCCAAGACGGGCATGGCCGGTTTTGGAGCTTGTATGCCAAGAAGTCTGCCTTGATCCACCCGGAGCTGCCTGTCGTGTCTCGGTGCCACAACTATGAGATTAAATACAAGTTCACCTATGAGTGTTCTCAGTGTCAAAACAGGTAAGTAGGATTTCCTGCAGATTCCTAGAAGAACTTGTCTAGGGGGTCAGAAAAATAAATCTCTGGATCCTAACTCTCCCCCAAAGCAATTAAATTACCTGCATAAAGGTACTGGCTGGATATCAGGGAAAACGTTTTCACGGTCAGGGTGGTTCAAAGGTGGAATCAGCTGCCTAGGGAGGTGGTGGGCTCCCCTTCACTGGCAGCTTTCAAGAAGAGGCTGGACGGATATTTGTCAGGGATGCTCTAGGCTGGTCCTGCATTGGGTTGGACTAGATGGTCTGTGTGTGGCCCCTTCCAACTCTGTGTGATTCTGTGAATGTCCTTTACAGTGTACTTTTGTTTTCCTTTTCACGTGGAAGCAATCTTAAGAGAAAGTTCTGGCTAATTCTGAACCTCAGTACACGTCTCTTCTTGCCATAGACGTCTCCCTTTAGCCTCTTGCTCTTTCTCTGTCTTGCACAATACGGATCCTGTTTCACAGCTAGAACTTTCCCGTTTCTCATCTGTAACTGTCGAGCCTGACTCTTTTAGCCGAGCTCTTGATGGTCCACCGGACACTGCGGCGTGGTGGGGTTCTCTCCTTTCACCTGCCCCTAAGTGTGCTTTCTGCAGTGTTGAAAAGAATCTCTTTGCACAGCTTCTTAGGTATTAATCTGTGAAATCTTCCTAGCCCAGACACCATCCAGGCACAACTCATTCGCACTTGGCTAGCGCCATGTTCCGTGTTGCCCAAATGTCAGCTACCGGATCCTCCGTCTTCCTTCTCCTGCGACAGCTGCGGGCAGTTCTGCTTGCACAGTATGTGGCTCATCAGGAATTTTGGTCTTCATCGTGCCCATGCCTGGCGGCCACCACCCACTGGCCCTAACCTGCGTTCCCAGGCGGGTGCGGCCCTGGGCTGGTTCGCTTGGGGATGAGTCCCCTCTGGAGCGGGAGCTGGCACAGAGCTTTCCTCGGAGCGGGTTCTAAGGCTGCCTTTGCAACTTTTTTGATATTATTAAATGCCAGCAGCCTGGCTACATTTACATAAGAACATAAGAGACGCCAATGTTGGATCAGGCCAAAGGCCCATCCAGTCCAACACTCTGTGTCACACAGTAGCCAGAAATACCAGTGCCATCAGGAGGTCCAGCAGTGGGGCCAGGACATTAGAAGCCCTCCCACTGTTGACCCCCCCCCAAGCACCAAGAAGACAGAGCATCACTTGCCCCAGAGCCCCTAGCTATACCTTGTGGCTAATAGCCACTGATGGACCTCTGCTCCATATGCTTATCTAATTCCCTTTTGAAGCCGTCCATGCTTGTAGCACCCACCACTTCCTGTGGCAGTGAATTCCATGTGTTAATCACTCTTTGGGTGAAGAAGTACTTCCTTTTATCCGTTCTAACCCGACCGCTCTGCAGTTTCATGGAGTGCCCACGAGTTCTTGTATTGTGAGAAAGGGAGAAAAGTACCTCTTTCTTTACCTGCTCTTTCCTATGCATAATCTTATAAACCTCGATCATGTCACCCCTCAGTCGTCTTTTCTCCAAGCTAAAGAGCCCTAAGCGCTTTAACCTTTCCTCATAGGGAAAGTGTTCCAACCCTTTTATCATTCGAGTTGCCCTTTTCTGCACTTTTTCCAAAGCTATAATATCCTTTTTAAGGTGTGGTGCCCAGAACTGCACACAGTATTCCAAATGAGGTCTCACCATTGATTTATATAGGGGCATTATTATATTGGCTGATCTGTTTTCAATACCCTTCCTAATAATCCCCAGCATAGCATTGGCCTTCTTTATTGCAGTCACACACTGTCTCGACATTTTCAGTGAGTTATCCACTACAACTCCAAGATCTCTCTCTTGCTCAGTCTCTGCCAGTTCAGACCCCATCAATGTGTATTTATATTTAGGATTTTTGGCTCCAATGTGCATCACCTTGCACTTGGCCACATTGAACCCCATTTGCCATGTTGACGCCCACTCGCCCATCCTTGACAGATCCCCTTGGAGTGCCTCACAATCCTCACTGGTTTTCACCACCCTGAACAACTTTGTATCATCCGCAAATTTAGCCACTTCACTGCTTACTCCCATCTCCAAATCATTAATGAACAAGTTAAAAAGCAGTGGACCAAGTACTGATCCCTGCGGTACCCCACTGCTTACCACCCTCCACTGAGAAAATTGCCCACCTACACTCACTCTCTGTTTTCTATGAACTAGCCAGTTTTTGATCCATAAAAGGACTTGTCCTTCTATCCCATGATTTTTGAGCTTACTTAGGAGCCTTTGATGAGGAACTTTATCAAAAGCTTTCTGGAAGTCAAGGTAAATAATATCTATTGGATCCCCCTTGTCCACATGTTTGTTCACCCCCTCAAAGAACACTAACAGGTTAGTGAGACAAGATCTTCCCTTACAGAAACCGTGCTGAGTCTGCCTCAATAGGTTTTGTTCATCTATGTGCCTACTAATTCTTTCCTTAATAATGGTTTCCACCAATTTACCCGGTATCGACGTCAGACTGACTCTGAGACTCAAGGAGCATTACAGAATTTTATAATAATGCAGTAGAAACCATATAAGACAGTAAAACAGTGCAATTATTGGATTGCAAAATTTTAAAATGGGATATTGTACACAACACAAAAACTGGAATGCAGAAATTAGAAATAAACATACAGTGAAGAAGAGATTAGATTTATGCCCCGCCCTTCACTCGGAGTCTCAAAGCGGCTTACAAACTCCTCTCCCTTCCCCTCCCCACAGGAGACACCCTGTGAGTTAGATGGGGCTGAGAGAATTCTAACCCTAACCCATCCAGGACTTGCCCAGATCCACCTGGCTTAGCTGATGAGGAGAAGCAGAGCCTGGATGTCGTCCACAGAGTGGTGACGTTGCATTCCAGATGGCCCCTACCTACCGCAGTAGCTTCATGCAGACTATAAAGCACGTCAGGCAAGGTGGAGCCCCTGCAAACTCCATAGCAGAAATGCCACATAGCAGAAATGCCTGGCAATCCTTAGTCGGCACTTTTGCTTTAAAAAACCTTCTTTTCTGGCTGGTTCATGCCATAGTCTATCTAATCTAGGTGGGGTTTTTCCAGTAACCAGCAGGCAATAGCCCATCCATGAGAATTTGCTAGAAATCCGCTGTCTTTCCTGTTTTTGCCAGAAAATGGGCTTTTGCAGTCCTGTGATTCACTGGGCCATCAGGGTACTCCAGTCTGCTAACACCCGGCTCTGCAGTCAGCAGTCGCTGCTCAGAGAGGCTGGGGGGAGTATTTCACGCTCTCCTGGCTGAGGCTGCGCTTTGGGGCTGAGGCCCTGCTTGTGCCCGACTTCTTGGGTGTCGGCTATTGGATCTGCTCTGCGGGGTTATCTCATAGCTGGTGTTTTCCAGTTTTGATTAATAGGAGGGCTTTTTGGGGGGGGAGCACTCATGCAGTAAAGCAGGGCAGAAATCCCTAAAAATGATGTAACTGCAAGTTCCTCTTCTTCCACCCGTCCTCTAGCACTCTGCTCCCTCCTCTTTCACTCCTTGTTCACTGTTGAGATTTCTGCCAGCCTCTTGGAAGAAGGGTGTGACTAGTGCTGGGGGGTGGGGGTGGCTCTTCAAAAGACCTCTCCCCCGCCCCCTGCTGCATTTGTGCCGGGCAGTTGGCCAGGCCCCTTGTAGCCTTGCTTCTTTATGGAGTCTTCTCCTCCTGTTTGCCTTGTCAGGATTGGCCGTCACTCCAAGTCCCTGGACACGCAGCGCTTTGTCTGTGCCCTCTGCAAGGGGCAGCTTGTGCTGCAGCAGCCCATGCGGAAGGATGGCACACCAGCCAAACCGTCGCTGACTCCCTTTGCGAAGTATGTGAAGGAGAACTATGCCTCCGCCAAGCAGTCGCAGCAGGGGCTGAGCCACGGAGCCATCATGAGGAAGCTCAGCGCTGACTTTGCCTCCCGGCCGTGACGGACCCGCCTGTCCTAGATCCGTGCGGCACACGTCTGGTCTGGGGGGGGGGTGTCATGGGGAGGCAGAGCCCCGGGGAAAAGGGGGGCGGCCCTCTTTCCAGAGCCCAGAGACAAGCACACGTGAATTGCTGTGCGAGTTTTTCCATCCCGGAGGTCATCTGCCTCAGGGCATTAGATCAAGTTTTTATAAGATGTATGGATACGGACAAAATAAAATCGATTGCTTGAATGTGTTTCCTTCTACTGCTAGCTAATTGCAACGGGGATAACAGATAGATGAGTAGCAGCTTGTTGAGCGGGTGGTAGTCTGGGGTTCTTCCCCGATGATGCCTCTCATGTATCCCATCAACACCCTGCAGGGCTCGTTATTTCCTTGGGGGAAGCCAGACTCTTCTGCCAGACTCTCCCTGTGCCACATCCATGTCATAATATCACCGTGTTCAAAATGCACTTGTATAAAAGAACTTTAAAAGCCTTACACTACTTGGCACTAGCTTGTGTTGTGCTTTGAATAAGTGGAATGCACTGTTTGCCTACATGCTTGTTCACTTTCTCAGAGAACTCCAACAAAAGGTTGGTGAGGCAGGACTAACCTTTGCAGAAGCCATGCTGATTTTCCTTCTGCAGGCTTTGTTCCTCCATGTGCCTAATACTGCCTTTGATTATAGTTAGGCCAATTGGCCTGTATTTTCCTGGTTTCCTAACCCTAACCCTTTGGACCCCCTTTTTAAAAAACCAGTATACTTGGTACAGTGGCTGAATTTAGTGAGAGGTTACATAGACAGGCTAGTAGGTCAACAATCTCTCATTTGAGTTTCCTAAGAACTCTTGGGTGTATGCCATCACTGATTTTTAATTTCCTCAGTAGGTCTAGAACTTCATCCCTTATCCACCTCCATTTGATGCAGTGGCTGACTCTGCTGGACCAAGTTGAGTTGTGTTTTTAATTCTGGTTTGTCAGAAAATGATGTCAGAAAAGACATTCTACCGCTTGCAGTCAGCAATGATTCACACAGCAGTAGATACAGGTGTTGGGTCCCAAGCGAAAAAAATAACTCCACGTTGCAAAGCAAGTAAGGTTTATTTCAAAGCGTTGGTATAACCAGAACAGGACATTGTTAGGAATAACTACAGGTAACCAGGGAAGGCATAATAAAGACATTTGAACCAGGGAAGGACCAATGGGTCCAATTCCCGCTGGCGGGAATAGACCATACAGTTCGCGCCCAATGCATGGGAACGCAACCGTTCTGAAATGTCAACACAGGTTCAGTTCACATGCAAGATACCCAAAACATTCTAGGCAAAGCTCTCCCCCTACACCCAGCTGCACGACCTTGGCAAGTTCAGCGGACTACATAACATAACATACTGAAAGAGAAAAGAAGGAGGGGAGAGGGCTGAAGGGAACTACACAGGAACCGGAATGACAATGGCAGCTAGCTGACAACCGAAGGACAGCCGCGCTGCCGGCCTGGGGGGGGGGGGAGTGGATTTCTCCCATGATGACCACTGACCTCCAGGCCAGAGAGATCAGGGCAGCTTTGGACGGTGGACTCAGAGTTACAGCCAGCGGAGGTCCCTCCCCTCCTCACACTCTGTCATAAGAACATAAGAGACGCCAATGCTGGATCAGGCCAAAGGCCCATCCAGTCCAACACTGTCTGTCACACAGTGGCCAGAAATACCAGAAATTCTGTCCTACTGTCAGCAAGCTGCCATTGTGTTCTGTGTTTCCTGTACGCTTGTACAGTTCATTCCCCCCCCCCCCCGCCTCCCCTTTTTTTTTATTTCGCTGTAATGCTAAGCCGAACATCTGGAGGACGTGGTGTAGGAGGAGAGCTTGAATGCTAGCTCACTGGTTTACCCGCCAGCAGGAAAGTGATCCATCGGTTCGGTACCTGGTTCAAATCCCTTTATTATGCTTGCCCTGGCTGTTTGTACCCATTCCTAACAACTTGTTTGAGTATCTTTCCAAAGCTTTGAAATAAATTTTGCTTTTCTGAAACGTGGATTTATTCTCGATGCTTGGGGATCCAACATATTGTTAGGAATCCCATTATTTTCCTATCGTCCCGAGTCTGACGAAGTCATGAGCGGGACAGAGGGAAAACTGCCTACAACGGAAG